TAATAAAAAGGTGAAACACAGAGCTCTCCCTAACCAGAGATAGAAGCAACAGCCACAGACTTGGGGGGTTTAAAATATAACTATGGAATTGGCCTCCGTGAATTACTGTGAATATTTAAATGTATATCTTGTAAAATCCAGTTATACTTAAACCACCACAACTTCTCGCAGCAGCAAGTCCCACAGTTTCATATATTTAGTGGAAAAAAAAAAAATTGTTTTTAAGCCAGAAGGTGCTTTTTCTCTAATTCTTGTGTTTTGAGAAACAGTGACTTATCACTTTCTAGTCACGCTCTTCGTGGTGTAAATGACTGACGGACAGCTACAGTCCACCTCCCTCAATTACCTCTTGCCAAGCTGGGGAGCCTTAGTCAACTCTGTCTGTCTTCAGGCAGAAGATACTCCTGACCTCTGATAACTCTCGTCAACTGTTCTCATCAAGTTCCGCTCAATCCTTTTCGCAATGGGGAATGCGTTCAGTATTCATAAATTTAGAAAGTGCCATAATTGTGTTTTCAGTTAGGTTGGGTTTGAAGCCTTTGGTTTAGGCTATTTCTTGCTCTTTCATTTCTGAATTCAGCTGACTTACATACTGGCTTGTCTCCTACGTTAGAGTTTTATGGTGTCCTCTCCACTCCCCTTCCCCCAGTGCATCACCTCAAAGTGTATGTTCTTCCATTCCTACAAGCTTTCATGCAGTCTTTGGCTGAAAACTTCTCCCATATCTTTTACATTTGAAACAGCAGCAATCTACACAGGAAAGACTATTAAACAACAAAACAGAGGGTAAAACAATTTGAGCAAAATGCACTGACTGGCAATTTTTGACATAAGAAAGCATAAATTAGCATTAAAAAAAAAAGTATTTAAAGCTTAAGAGAATAAAAGAAGCTGAACACCAGAGCAGTGACTTACTTCTGCAGCATGGCTTGCCACTCGCCTAGTCTGTCTCCTATGGGAAACCGCTTAATGGTGCTCTGAATCTTCGCTCGCCACTCCCTCATGTAGTCCTCTATGTCGAACACAAATGGCTGCTGCCCAAAGTTGGCATCAACTATCTCTCCTGGAGTCTGGAGACCCACTGTAGGGTAGAGATTTGACTGGGAAGGAAGAAAAAGAAACCGACATTAAACCCGGCTTTCTCTTTCTGTTTCCAGTTCCATGGTTTGGTAAGAGAAAAAGAGCTGCTCTTTAAATTGAAACATGCAATGGAAGAGGAAGGGGCAACAGCCCTTTAGGTACATCTCCAGGAACCCGATGACCTATTGTGCAGTTACAAACAGTTATTGTACATAAACCAGAGCAACAGGATCAATCCCCCAGCAGCCTGGGATCAATGCCACGACGGCTGTCCATGGCGTGTCCACTTTCTGGCTTAGATTTCTGCAATTTCTACCAAAGTTCAACAGTCAGTAAATAATAATAATGGGGGGAAAAAAATGAAAGGAGCATCATCCCAATCAACAGATCCACATGTTCTCCACTGTTTGCACTGAATTCTCTTATTCCTTGGAAGCTGCTGTCAGAGTATTTTACATCTTTGATGAAAAGGGAACGGATGGTAGTGGAGCTCTGAGGTTAGGTTTTTGACGATCCCAAGACAGCATGCCCTCCACACAAGAAATTCCACTACTGATAGATGAATTTCATTTTAAGAACAAGCACATGGAGCCAAATGGGAGCTCTGACACCCCATCCTGCCCCGAAACACGGGGAACAGAAAAGGTTACCACTGTGAAAACACCTCCGAAATTCAGGCAGAAATTCAGCTTCCAGAGAAGATGATCTAATTGAAAACAGGTGGTAAAAGTCTATCTAGAAGTTCTCTGAATTCCAGCTATTTTAAGAATAAGCTTATGGATAAGAATTGAAGCCCTCAGCTCACTTAAATATGGGAAAAAGAGAAAGGGCATCACAAAAGGTACAGGCACGCCTGGTTCTCACTCTGGATCGCATTTTTTAAGAGCGTGTTCCATTCGCTGTCGTGTTACCTTTCTGCCGCACAGATTACTCCCCTGTTTGCAACACAAACTTCACTAATCCTCCGCTTTGGAGCATCTGCTGACAGCCTGAGGTGTAGGAAGAAACCTCTCTCATGGCACTCATGAACTGTTAGGGGTTGGGTTTCTTCCCTTTGCTCTAACACACTGGAGACCGACACAGCCAGACACCGGACACTGGGCAAGGCACGCAGAGGCACGTAAGGAAATGGAAGTCTGGGAGGTGCCTGGTTGAGGTGTCTTGCTCATGGTTGAACCCAAGTAGCACGTTAGATTGGTGGAGGAGCAGAACCTCTCTCTCTAGGTTAAATCAGCAAGAACTACTACTGGTGGTTAGACGGTCATCCTAAAGAAAGCTAGGATGATTCTCTACTCCTCTGTGGCAAGGGCCATGGGCTTTCCTACAATTATCTGGAAAATTTATTCAACTAATTCCTCACTATTGCAGAGACCTGAGATGTTGGCAATGTCATTGATCTCCCCTTGAGACCTACTGTAGCTGTGGATTTTATTTTTTACTAAAGGTACTAAGATTGTTACGAGGCGGAACTCAGCAGAATCCTGATGACATTGGCAAAAAAGGGAGCCAGCGTGTCGTGGAAAGCGATTCTTCTCTCTGCTTTCACTGGCATGGCTACAGCTCAGTACTGTACTCGGTTCCCTGCCTGCACATCCTCATCCCCAGGACTAGAAAGACATTCCCAAATGGGGTCCAGCGGACTTCTGCTAGGATGGTCAGAGGGCTGGAGGCGCCTGGCATACGAGGAGAGGCTGAAGGAATTAGCTTGGAGAAGGCAAAAAAACCTAACTGCAAGTCTTCCACTCCCCAAAGGAAGGCAATAAAAAAACGACGGAGACATTCTTCTCAAGGGTGCTCAGTGAAAGGGCAATGGGCACGAGCTGCAGCCGGGGAAATTTTGATGGGTCATAAGGAAGAAATTCTTCCCTGAGAGGATGATTAAAGACTGGAATAGCTTCCCAGAGACTGCAGCATCTCTGTTCTCAGAAATTTTCAAAGCTCAACTGGATAACGTCCTGCTCCAGCTTTGAAATTATTGAATATCAAATAACAAAGAAAAAATGAATCTATAAATACAGTCTGAGAATGGATGCCAGAAATCAGGGTGATTGCTTCACTGCTGACTCAGCCCACCTCCTCCTTTCCCATCCTCACACCAAGGAAGTCACTGGGTTAGAGGTGTGCAAAAAAAATACAGCATGATAAAGGAGGAACTAGCAGAGGAAAATGTTGTACTTAAAGTCAGTCTCACTTGTCTTTCAGACCTAGCTGACAAGGAAATAGCTCTACTGAGGGATCAGATCGTTTCTACAGTCCATGCTTTAGACTTCTTTATTAACGGAACTGTTTAGAATTATGAACCCAAGGACTTCCAAAGTCAGGAATCAGACCCCCAAAATACTTGGAAGTTAGAAGTAAAAAACCCCAAGTAACAACATATCGTGTATTTCTCTGCCACTTTTGGCTACATTCCTCTTTGAGGGGAAGCTGCCTACGGCCATCTTGTCCCAAATCACCTCCCAGTTAAAATTCCATTTTTCACATGTGGGCTCTGTTCTCTCTGTTTCGCAGCTGTTGGGAACCGTCAGATTACTCCCCTGTTTCGCTGCTGTGCAGGAACTGTCCTGCCACACACAGGGAGACATCATCCCGGAGCCCTCTGACCAGGCAGATGCTTCCCCTGCCAAGTTCTTCAGGCCCACCTTCCCCGTGACTTCTGGACCACCCCTCGCCTCTGATGTTGGTGGCCAGTTGCTCATGACCCCCTAGTTCATCTTGACTTGTATTTTAACCTCCTGCGATCCCACCCTGGGCTCTTCCACATCCTGCTTTTTACACTTCCTATCGTTTCAGCAAACCAGTAGGCAGGATAAACCTGATACGGGCTTGTGTAAGAGAGTTAGGCCTAAGCACTGACTTAAATAGGTGAAAAAAAGGGAAAGCTCCCTCTGTGGGATATTCATTTCTATTTGCAAGCAGTTATTTTTTTACTTACTTCAACCCGTCCTAAGCCAAAATGCGATTTTTTTTCCCCTCATTGCATATTTGTACAGATGCAAATGCTCTTTAGAGGGAACTGAAACAAGCTGAAGCAAATGTGCTTCACCATGCGCGAGAATTATCAGAACAAAATGTGGTTTTCAACTGAAAGTTTCCATTTCAACTTCCTAATATTGCAAAATATTGTTTTCATCATTTGCCTCTGAAAGGGGAATTTTGCATAAGCACTTCGAGGAAACAATTTCTACCTCAAGACTTCTATAGTCTCTGGCAATAGTCATTATATTTACATCAAACGTCTGTCTTGGGTTTGGCATCCCCTTCTTCAGGAAAGGGCTGTAACCTCAACTGTTTGGAAGAAGAACTAAGAAGCCATGGATCAAGGGAGCAAAAACGGCCAGAAAAGGACACGGAATATACAGGCGTCTGCAAGGGGGAGGGAAGAAGGCAGTAATTCAAGGGAAGGATATTGGAAGAGGAGGATGGGAATGATGGAAGTCGGGTGCAGGCATCCTCATGATGAACTGCCAACACAACAGCTGAGCCATTTAGCACACAGAGAGGAATGTCCAAAACTCCCACAGAGGCAGACGTCTTGTGTCCTTGCTCGCATCCAGTTAGGGGGTGAAATGACCCAGTCGAGCTTCTCTCGCCCTCTTTTTAAAGAGAAATTATCTCATGGAGGATAGCTCTCAATAGTAGAAGGTCTATAGGGCATCCACTGTTCTCCTTCCTGGCCCAGAAAAACAGTGTCATAGATGAGCTGCTGCTGTAAAAGCCAGAAGCAGATTTCCACAGAAAACAGCTCAGCAAACTGGATGGCAGGAGGCACAGAGACACCGTTTAACCACTGGAGGCTCGGCCACGAGGCATCAGGTGAATAGCTGATCCCAAACCCCACCTGACCGGATCTTCCTCCAGTTTAACGCTAAACCAACATTCCCCCTGCACAGGAGACACAGACAAACAAGCATGAGATCCTGTAAGGATGATCTGGTGAGATCAAGAAAGAGCGGGATGGGGGATGCCCTGCGCTCAGGAGGGGTTTGCATTCAATCTCAGCGGCAGTGCAAGACCCCGCTGCTCAAGAGCTCTTCTGCCCGGTCTGCTTCCCCAACTGTTCATCCCCCATTTGTAACAGAGGCTTGACACCCGGGGGGGGGAACAGCTTCCAAGCGCACGTTAAACGTAGACATCAGCCCACCGTGCACTCCTGCACCAAAGGGATGCAAGTCACGCTACGCGGGACAGGTACAGCCAAATGCGTGCAACGCGTTAGGTGGCAATGACAAAACAACGGGAGGCGCGTTGGATAGCCGTTTCTGATCAGTAAGAGCCTAAATAGTAATTATCTATCCCAAAATGAAGATTGCTCTCATCTCAGAAAGAGAAGCGGTCTAGCCAAATGAGAAGAAATTAGAAAGAATATGTTGTGAATAAATTGTGAAAAAATTAGAAGGAATATGGTAAAACTGTGATTGCTAATGTAATCTATACCCAGAGGGGAAAACAAAGAGCACCTAAAATGAAGGCATATATCACAGAAGCGCCTCCTTGCTACGGATGCAAGGCTGTCACAAGACCTCACTCCAAAAGGTTAATATTCATGGACAGGTAAAATATTCTTTTACTTTAATAAACTGTTTATTGGACCAAGTGAAATAACCCACACAAAGAGGGTTTCTGGTTTGGAATACACTGCGACGTTACCAGATTCAAGGAGGCTAGGAACCAAAAAAAAAAAAAAAGCTGTACTGACAGCTGATATGAGAAGGCAAATTAAATAACTGGAACGTCCTTCAGCACCGACAGTGGCTGGGATGTGGGAGAGATTCGTAAAGCCGTAAATCCCACTGGGAAGGTGAACTGGGAGTGCTAGTCATTATTTGTCACAGCACAAAAATTAGAGGAACAAAATGAATTTTTTGGCGGGAGGTGCCAAACAAAGGAAAGCAAGGTTTCTTCCACGCAACGTGGAAGTCAGCCCAGAAAATGGATCATTTTGGAGGCCTAAACAAGTTATGGAAACTAAGAAATTCCTCAGAGGACATTCATTTGGAGTTATTAAGTACAAAGACAAGAGTGCAACCTCAGGGACAAGAAGTTCTATGTATGAGAGAAATGGATGCAGTGGATGTGTTGGTCGATGCCTGACCTGGTTTTAGCTTCTTTTCCTTGTCCAGGAACACGTAGGTCTGAAAAAGAGCAACCACTGTTTTGTTCGTGACCCACTGTGAAAGTCATGCTTTTGTCAGACCCGACTAGATGTTATTGCCTGGTGTAACTCAGCTGGCGGCACTGCACTCAAGAGTAACTCAGTACCGGGGCTGGTGAATCAGAGGAGTAACCATCAGCCCTACGCGGGTGCCAAATACATTCCTCCAGCAGCTCCATGAGCTGGTTACTCATCACGGGCAGAGGCTTGACAAAGATCTGTGCCATGAGCCAGCTGAGCCTGACCTTCAGGCTCAGAAATACCCTTCCCTAACCACACCACGGCAAGGCAACAACTCCGCCACGGCTGCAAGACCTGGCTGAGACAGGAAGAAGCTGAGAATAATATCAGCAGGTATTTTTGGGCTCTGTGATGATGGGACGTGAGAGGCCACTCAGTGACTTTGCACACATACTCCCTGCAGTCGAAGCTGCGTTTGGAAGACAGTGACCTGTAACGAAGTCTGAATCCTTGCTTTAATTCCAGAAGGAGCAACATATTCTTAGGGGTGGTGAGGGATGAGAGGAGGCATGTGAGTAGCCCACAGCCCCAGCCACAGGATTACAAAGTTCCAGCAAAAGGAGCACCCACATCATTCAGTAATACACATTACCATTTAATAACAGGGCATCAAACTGAAAAGAAAGAATAATCACACCCCCACACTCTTCCCCCTCCCTTCTGTTTGCATCCTTAGTTAAAATACTGAAAATAGGTGTACTTACAGGGAGGTCTGTAAAGGCTATACCTGTGGGGGGAAAAATATTAGAATTAAAAAGACAAAGGATTTTTTTTTTTTCCCCTGCTTGGCTACATCCTTAACATGCTACAGAAAGTAACCGCATTTCAATAAATCCCAGCTCTGACCCTGCATTTCATGACCTGTTGTATCTAGACTTAACTTCCCTCCCCAGTCCCCTCCTCTGTCAGGTTTTGCATCTGGAGAAAGGTTCAGGGAAAAGCCTAAGTGTTTCAGACATCTCTCCCAAAAATTTGATTTTCTACAAAGCAGCTCCTCTTTTCTTTGCTTCTCCCTCCGTTACTACGAAGGAGTTAGTTTTCAAGACTCACTTTGGCTTTAGAAACAGAGTTTTACTATAAGGTTGCTTCGGTTTAGGCTGTAACTAGTTCTTCTCACCGGCCAGAGAGACAGGAACGAACATTCATGCTTCGCTGGGGAACAGCCTTGCGACAAGACCGAGCTGCAGCCAGGAGCACCTGAGAAAAACTGTGCGAAGAACAGCTGCATCCTCAGCTACGCTGCTACAGACCCAAATATAAGAGCTGGGGGAAAAAAGGCGTATGGTTTCCCTTTTCATTTACATTTGGCGTGCCAGGGAAGAGAGATCTGCTTAAGCAGAGGCAGCCACTGCTAACGGAGTTGTGGCCTCGGCTGGAGTCAGGGTCCCCCAGGCACAGCTCTGCAACGCTCCGCAGCTGATGGAGATGTGAGCTACCTCTTGGAAGGAGGGTGCCTCTCCGTCCCTCTCCCGCAGCGTGCGTCCCTCCATCCGCCATGGGTGGGAGCCAGCGGCCGGGCAGGAGCAGGGCGAGATGGATGAGCCAGCGACGGCAGCTCTGACCACAGGTTTTGGGTCGCTCTCACCAAAACAGCGCAGGGGAAACTGCTGCCATGCCCTGTTTGCCTTATCAGGCTGAGCTTAACTCACGTTTTCAGCTAACACTTCAGGAGTCAATCTGGAAGCTGCGGTCTTGCCCCACGCACGCTCCCAGCAATGCTTCCTGTCCCCAGCCAGAGGAAGGCTGGTACCCACACCAGTATGCCCAGTTCTTGCACACGTCCCACCCCCCAGCCACGCAGCAGTCCCTTCTGGGTGGCAGTGAAAAGCAAAAGCACCTCATTCTCTGTTTTTAATGTTAGGACTATTTTAACCTGCAATGTAATGTTACCAGATCAGCCTGAAATGGTAATTTAAACCAACTTTAGGAGTCAACATAGAAAGAAATAATTACTATTCGAAACAGCAGAGATCCAAAACCAAGCGCTTGGAAAATATTTTACTAAATAAATAACTGATACGGTTTAATCAACATCAGGGCAGTTTGGACCTCATCTGTTGAGTATCCTCTGACAACTGGTGTAGCTGTGCAGCTGGGAGCTGCATCCAGCACAGGGGCAAGCACACGGTTTTTGAGTGGACTGCAAGGTAGGTGGAAAATTGGCTGGACTGTCAGGATCGAAGGGTTGTGATCAGCAGCTCAAAGTCCAAGTGCTGTCCCTCAGGGATCGATGGTAGGGCCAATACAGTTTCACGTCTTTACCGACGACCCGGACGATGGGACAACGTGCAGTCTCAGCAGGTTCACAGATGTTACCACCCGTGAGAGCGGAGAATACACTGGAGGTCATACTGCTATTCAGAGGGACTTCGACGGGCTGGAGAAATGATCCAGCACAAACCTCATGAAGCTCGACAAAAGCAACTAAAGAGCCCTTCCACCAGGTCGTAATATTGCCAGAAAACAGGACAGGCGGGGGCTGAACGGTGAGAAAGCAGGTCTGCAGAGAAGGATGCAGGGGTCCTGCTGGGTACCAAGTGGAGCAAGAGTGTCCTGGTTTCAGCTGAGATAGAGTGAACTTTCTTCACCTTCATTGGTGCCCAGTAACTCCAGGCATCACATCACCTCTCCTGTCCTGAGTGACCACCATAACCGATGGGAGCCCAAAGTCACAGGCTAAATGAACTCAACGGACATTTTGTGGACATTTTATGGACATTTTGAAAGAGTGGTTCATAGACTAAGGGAATTATATCAGCACATTGTACTATACCAAAGGATGAGAAGGGTGGTGGTGGTTAATGAGGATGTATTGGATTGTGTGGGACCTGAGCATGACGTAAATGGTATAGAATACGGGGTGGATAATGTCCTGCTTTCAGCTGAGAGGTAATTTTCTTCATAGTAGCTATTACGGGGCTGTGTTTTGTGTTGGAAAGAGGGTTGATAC